ACTAAGGACACAAGGGAAAGATTAGTCCAAAGGACGAATGGACCACAACTACCACAGCCTCCACCGGACTGAGTCCAGTACAGCTAGATGGTCCCCAGCTACCACCACCAACTGCTCTGACAGGGTTCACAACAGACGGTCCTAGACAGAGCTGGAGAAAAATGTAGAAAAAAATTCTAACTCACAAAAAAAGACCAGACTTGCTGGCCTGACAGAGACTGGAGAAACCCTGAGAGTATGGCTCCCCAACACCCTTATGGCTCAGTAATAAACTCACTCCTGAGGTTCACCCTTCAGCCAAAGATTAGACAGGCCCATGAAACAAAACGAGACTAAAGGGAAACAACAGGCCAGGGACAAGGGCTAGAAGGCAGGAGGGGATAGGAAAGCTGGTGATTGGGAGCCCAAGGTCAAGCAGGGAGAGTGTTGACATGTCGTGGGGTTGTTGACCAATGTCATAAAGCAGTATGTGTACTAACTGTTTAATGAGAAGCTAGTTAGTTCCGTAAACCTTCGTCTAAAGTACAATAAAAAAAAGAAAACTAAAAGACAAGCCACTGGCTGGGAAAAATATTTGCGAATCATATATCTGATAAAGGAGTCGTCTCCAGATGATATGAAGAACTCTTACAACTCGATAATAAGATAACACAATTTTTAAAAGGGCAAAGGATTTGAACAGAAGTTTCACCAGAGAAGGTATACAAATGGCTAGTAAGTACATGAAAAGACACCCAACATCAGCCACTACTCAAACCCATTGCCGTCGAATCGATTCCAACTCACAGCCACCCTACAGGACAAAGAAGAACTGCCCCACAGAGTATCCAAGGCATGGCTAGTGGATTAAAACTGCCGACCTTTTGGTTAGCAGCTGAGCTCTTAACCACTGTGCCACCGGGTCTCCCCATCAGCCATTAGGAAAATGCAAATTAAGCTACAATGAGATACCACTTCACATCTACTAGTATGACTATAATAAAAAAGACAAAAAACACAAGTATCAGCACAGATATGGATAAACTGGAGTCCTCATACAATGCTGGTGGGAATGTAAAATTGTTTAGTCTCTTTGGCAATTTCTTAAAAAAATTAAACCTAAATTGACCGTAATACCAAGCAATTCCATTCCCAGGCATCTACCCAATAGATTTAAAAATATGTGCCCACCGGAAGACTTCCATGCAAATGTTCATAAAAGTCTTATTTAAAAAAGCCCCAAAACAGACACAACCCAAATGCTCCTCAACTGAAGAAGAGATAAATAAAACCTGGTATATATATCCATGCAATGGGATATTACTTCACAATAAAAAGGAATGAAGTACTGATACATGTTACAACATGAATGAACTTCAAATACGTTATGCTAAGTGAAAGCAGCCAGATCCCAAAGAGCATTCCATCCTGACTTGGGCCCATTTCTGCAACCTAGGTCAGGCTCAGGAATCAGGTACACTCAGGTTCGAATCCCAGCTCTGACATTTCCTAGCTTGTGTGACTTTTCACCCCTCTGAGCCCTGGTGGCACAGTAGTTAAGCTTTCAGCTGCTAACCAAAAGGTTGGCAGTTCAAATCCACCAGCCACTCCTTGGAAACCCTATGGGGCAGCTCTACCCTCTCCTATTATATGATTCAGTTTATATGAAATGTCCAGAAAAGGAAAAGGAGAATCTGGAGAAACAGAAAGGAGATTAGTGGGGCTGGGAGTGGGAGCAGGGAGTGACTGCAAAAAGGCATGAGGGAGCTTTTTTGAGGTGATGGAAATATTCTATTATTGGATCTTGGTGATGGTTGTGCAATTCTATAAATTTACTAAAAATAATTTCATTGTACACTTAAACTGGGTATATGTAAATTACACCCCAATAAAGCTGTTAAAATTAAAAATCTGAAAAGGAAACGAGTTGAGGGAGGGGTTGTCTCAATTCTTTTTTTCCCAGGAGGCCCTGGTCTGAAATGCAAATTTAACCACTTCCTCTCAATTGACCAGCTCTGAATACTAAGGGGTGTTCGAGGGCCCCCAGAGAACTTCTCTAAGGTGGCCCACACTTCTGGGACATTTACAGACCCAGAGGCACCCCTTAAGGGACCCTTCCCTGAACACAGATCTATTTCTGAGGGAACTCATGTTCACCCCAATGGACATGGGTCGGGCAGCTGTTAAATTTCCCCCTTGAAGGCATCTTTTTAAACACCAAGGCCTGTCTGGCCTCTGCTATACCCTACCCATTCCCTAAACCATTGCCCAGGGGGTAGCCAGAGTACTCTTCTGAAAACATAAACTGGATTAAACCATTTCCCCATGAAAACCTCTGATGGCTTCCCACTTCCCTTGGAACAAAATCCACCCTCTTTGCCATGTTCTGGAAGGCACGCGGTGGTGTGCATGGTGTGTGGCCTCCCTGGCCTCACCTCCTCTTATCCCCTGCTTGCTCCCTCTGTTCTACTACACTGCTCTTCTCAGGTTCCTGGAGCAAGCTGCATTCTTTCCCACCCTAGGACCTTTGCACTGTCTGAAATATTTCCTACTCATGGCTGGGTCCATCTTATCTGACCCTACCCTAACTGTCACTACCTTGACCTCTAGTCTGTTTTCTATGACACTTAGTACAATTTGAATTTCATTTGTCTGTTACTTCTTTTTGCTAGAATCTAGGCTCACTGAGGGCTGCCATTGTATGCATATTTCGGTGGGGCATCCACAGTGCATAGCCAAAGAGCTTGCTCAATAAATATTGGTGGAAAGACGGAAGGAAGGGAAGAAGAAAAGGGATGGATGGGTGGATGGATAGAAGAATGGATGAGTGGGTGGATGGACAGAAGAATGGACGGATAGGTGGGTGGGTGGAAAGAAGGAGAGGAAGGAAGGAAAGTAGGCAGGAGGGAGGGAGGAAGGGAGGAAGTCCTTGTGTTAGCACACATCGAGAAGCAGTGTAGTGAGTGATGAACAGTGTAAGCTCAGGAGCCCAAATGACTGAATTCAAATCCCAACTGCTACTCATCAGCTGTATAACCTTGGATAAATTACTCTGAGCCTCAGTTTCCTCATCTGTAAAATAAGGATGAAGATGGTGATGTTAATGATAATGGCTATCTTCTTGAGTTATTCTGAGGCTTAAGTGATCCGACGCACCTTTCAAGTCCTTAGACCCGATACAGAGCAATATCTCAGCAAATATTAACTTGCTTTACTGTTACTTCTCTTGATCTTTCTACCACCACGAATTCCCATACATGACACCAGAGAATTCGTACTGCAGAGCAAGAGAAAGAAAAACTCGCTTCCTCCCAAGATTTGTTCTCCAGAGAACACGAATTATTTCGGTGGTGGGGTGGGAACCTCTATGGGGTAAACATCTTTCAAATCAGCCACAGGGGAATTTGTACCAAGTTCCTCAAAAACAGCTAGAGAAAAAAAGGAAAAGAAATAGCAAGATGCTTTCTCTTTTTCCCTGGACTGGTCTTGTGGGTCAGCTGCACAGTTGTTTCCCAAAAACAGTCAGCTGGAGAGAGAAGGCATGTGTGTTTGAGCCAGCCTTAGTCATCAAAACAGCACAGAATAGCCCCCACCATCCCAGTAACATTCCATCCTGACTTGGGCCCATTTCTGCAACCAAAGGTAGGCTCAGGAATCAGGTACACTCAGGTTTGAATCTCAACTCTGACATTTCCTAGCTTGTGTGACTTTTCACCCCTCTGAGCCCTGGTGGCACAGTAGTTAAGCTTTCAGCTGCTAACCAAAAGGCTGGCAGTTCAAATCCACCAGCCACTGCTTGGAAACCCTCTCCTATAAGGTCGCTATGAATCAGAATTGACTCGACAGCAACCGGTTTGGTTTTTTTGACTTGAACCTCGGTTTCTCCATCTGTTGCATGAGAATAATCTTGCCTGTCTAATAGCATTTGTGGGATAGACTGCGATCATATAGGTGCCTAAGAAATGCAAGATAGCAGTAGTAGCAGCAGCGGAAGTTGTTGTATTCTTCTTTTGAGACTGCTGGGCGAGAGGTGGTTGAATTTTGTCCCCCGATTTCTTTGACAGAAAAATGAGGAAAAAAAATGCATCCTCCTTTGGAAACTTGGCTTCCTGAGTCCCCAGTGCCCACCCTCGGGGCTTGTTGTTGTTGGGCACCGTGGGGTCCATTTTGACTCATAGTGACCCTATGTGACAGAGTAGAACTGCCCCATAGAGTTTTCTAGGCTGCAATCTTTACAGGAGCAGATCGCCAGGTTTTTCTCCCCCAGAGAGGCTGGGTGGTTTCAAACCGCCAATCTTTTGGTTAGCAGCTGTTGTGCCACCAGGGCTCCTTCCTTCCTGCGTCTACTAGGTGCTCCCGTCTGTCAGGTGGGCAAAGCGAGGCACTCAGAGAGGTGATGTCATATGCCCAAGAGGCTCTCTTCTCAAGGACCTGGGGACAGGGTCCTGCTCCCCGGAGCCCCGCAGCAGAGGCGGATCGAAAGGCAACGGGAGCAGAGAGGGACTGGGTCAGGCCAGAACCAGGATCTCAAACTCAGACCCCTACCGGCCTGGCAGGCAGCACGAATGAGTAGGACAGGCCAGTTGGCAAACTCTGGAAGAGGCACTTATAATGGAGACTTTGGCCTAGTCTCTGGCCCCGTGGCCCTCAGTCTCCTCTCTGAGCTGACCTGGGGTTTCTTGGGTCTCTGACTTCCAGGAAGTTGATATTCCCAGCTGTGCCTCCCCTTCACTCCCGAACCTCAGTTTCCACGTCTGTGAGAAGTGGTGGTTCACGGTCGCCCTGCCTGCCTCATGGGTCATGGCGTGAGGGCTGTGGGGATGATGTCACCCGCTCTCAAGAGGCAGGCGTCATCCCTGATGGCCCCAGATGTCTCACTAGCTGGTGACCTTTGAAAGGGAGCCGCGGGTGCCCGCCACGGCCGAGTCCCCTCCCACCTTTTTCTCACCCGCCCATGTGGGCGGGGCCGCGTGTGCGGCCAGACGCCGGTAGCCTGCCACATCCTGCTCTGCCTTCTCGCCCAGCACACGCACGCGTCCCAGCGGATGGCGGCCCGGCGCGCGGCCCCTGACAGACCGACTGTCGTCTCTGCTGGATGACCTCCACTAAGTGTGGCCGATGGGCTCGGGGCCGACTGTGGGCCTGCTTCTCCCTGTGTGGCTGACTACCGCGCAGAGATCTGTCTGACTTGTTGCCCGTGTGTCTGCCTGACTGGCCAGCCTTGTCTGCCGGTCTGTCCATCCCTTGGTGCAACCAACTGGCCCCTGCCTGACAGTGTCCATCTTCTGTCTGTGTTGTGACCTCTCTGGAGGTGACTGCTCCCTCCGCGTGGGCTGCCTCTGTGCGGGATAAGCCACCTGCCTGGGGGCCCCCGCTGTCCGTCGGTGGGGGTGACAGGTCGTATGACTGTCTCCTTGATGACTCGGGGAAGATTGTGGATTCCCACCCCAGACCCCTGCCCATCCTTTTGGACCCTCATCACCCACCCCGCGCGGAGCCCAGCCGCTCCTCGCCATTCCTGGGAGCCCCAGGCTGCCCCCAGCGTCCGGAGTGGATTTCCGAGGAGAAGCTGGACCACAGGTAACACACTCCTGTCCGCTCTCGGCTGGGCTGGGTGCCCTCTCTGTCCTGGAGGCCTACCCCCTGCCCGAGGCATCCAGGGCACAGGGAAGGATTGTGAGAGGACACCTGTGCCCTGGTCACAGCAGGGGACACCAGGCACAGAAGCCTCATACAGTGAAGCCAGACGGCTCAGGGTGGCTGGAGTTCTCTGGGTCTGCAGAAGGCCTGGGGCATGGAGGCCAGAGGTTGGCTGAGATGACCCCAGGAGCCGTCTGTGGAAACAGCTTGCTAAAAGGGCAAGGCGCAGCAGGCAAGTTCCAGGTCAAACATGGCCCGACAGTCACCCTGGCTCTGGGCAGCTGAGCTGGGCACGGGTGGCTATAGGTACAGTGAGTGTGATGCTTTTATGTGGCTCATTTAAGTGGTGGTGGTGGGGGGGCATCAACTTTGTTCCGGGTTCTACGTTTTATCTCCTTCCACAGTCCTATGAAGCTGGGACTGGTGGGCCCATTTCACAGTTGAAGAAACGAGGCTCAGAGAGGTAGTGATTTTTCCAAGCTGGCTCAACTAGAAGGCAGCAGTGGGCTTCAACCCGGCCCAGCAGCTGCCTTCCTCGGGTTGTCTCCCTATCTTTCTCTGAAAGCACAGACCCAACGGTAAGGGAGAGGCGACCCCAGGGGTGCGAGGAGCATGGAGGAGAGCAGGGTGGGTCCCGCCTGGGAGGGCTTGGCAGGGAGACTCCAAGGATGCATTGAATGTTGACATGTGAAAGAAAGGGAATGGAAGAACCAGGCAGGTACACTCCTGGAAGACGCCCCTGGGGGAGTAAACGCCTGGACCAGGGAACTGAGGACTTGTTGAGGGTCAGCGGGAGCAGGGGGCCCAGTGCAGGGGTCGTAGGAAGGCAGGAAGCTGCCCCTGTGAGGACATTTGCAGCTGGGGCAAAGGGGGGGATTTCATAAGCATATGGTGGAGTGGGGAAAACCTGGTGATTCAAGATCTGGCCATGTGCCTTCCTAGCTGGGTGACCTTGGGTGAGTCTCTCTACTTCTTCTAGCTTCAGTTTCCTCATCTGTAAAATGGAACAAAAGTAGCTCTGCCCTCATGGAAATATTTGTGAGAACTCCAGGGCATAAACTTTGAAAGCTGCTGGCTGGAGGCCTGCTCAGAGTTGATTGCTGATGCCAGTTTCCCTTTTTGGAAGGGAGTTTGCATTGAGAGGTAACTCAGGTCTGTGGAGGGGAAAGGCCAGCCTCTAGGAAGGTGCAGGGACACACTTGGGGAGCTGGGGTCCTCCTCCCCCAGGCTCTTGGGTTCTGTCCAAACCAGGCTGCAGGCACTTCAGGATATCCCATAATCCTGATAATACCAGGTGAGGCTGGTGGTCTCACTCAGCCCATTTCACAGATGAGGAGACTGAGGCCCAGCCGGGAGCCCCTTGCCCCAGGTCATGCCACCATGAGCTGGGATTGGGCCCCAGTCTGATGTCAAGGCCACAACCCGCAAGATAAGATAACATAAAAACAAGACTCATGTCCTGGGGCATCTTCTGAGAAAGGGAGTCAGGGTGGCTGGGCATCTGATGGCAGGCAGGAAGTCCCAGGAGGGAGGCCCCTGGTCCTCTGCTCCCCACCATTGTTTAGCACAGCCCTGGTCCTGCCCGGCCCAGTCCTGGGGGTGTCTGGATCCTTATTCAACCCCTCTGCTGAGGGAGCTGAGAGCCCTTATGCCCTGAGGGGCCAGAATTGGGGTGGGGGCTGGAAAAGCAAGGCAAAGTTTGAGCCCCAGGTGCTAAAGGCTCCTATCTGCCCAGTGAGGTTGTTGTCAGGCCAAGAGAAGGTGCGGGAGCCTGGTGGGCGGTAAATTGGGGGCATCCCAGAGAAGGAGGCCAGCTTAAGAGAAGATGGAAGGGAGGAAAGCAGGTCACCAGAAGCTTTGAGAGGCTCCAGGTTCTATGAAGCATGAGGGCCTCCCTAGTGCCCGACAGATAAAACCTGTTGCCATTGAGTCAATTTCGACTCATAGTGACCCTATAGGACAGAGTAGAACTGTTCCATAGGGTTTTCTAGGCTGTAATCTTTACAGAAGCAGGCTGCGACATCTTTCTCCCATGGAGTGGCTGGTGGCTTCTAACCACTGACCTTTTGGTTAGCAGCCGAGGGCTTAACCACCTTGCCACCAGAGCTTTGCCCAACAGCTACATGAATGAAAGGAAGAGGGGTACCCCCAGCTGGTGGAGATAGCGCCTCCAGAATCCCTGCAGGCAGGACTGACCACTTAGCCATTTTCCACACGGCTGGGAGGTCCCTGGCATCAGGTGGGGGCTTTGGACCTGGCTCCACAGCACACCACCAGTTGTAATCTTGAGCTGTGGAATCAGCCAGACCTGGGTTCGAGTCCCAGCTCCACCACTTAGTACCTGTGTGACCTCAAATAAGCCACTCAACCTCTCTCAGGCTCAGTTTCCTCATCTGTAATATGGGAATAAAAACGCCTATCTTGACTTTATTATGAGGAATTTATTCAGCATGCATTTATTAAGCCCTACTGCGTGTCAGGCTATGATACTGAACAGGTTTCGACAGAACTTCCAGACTAAGACAGACTAGGAAGAAAATCAGCTAATGAAAACCCTATGGATCACAGCAGTTTGATCCCCAGCCTATCATGGGATGGCACAAGATGGGGCAGCATTTTGTTCGTTTGTGCATAGGGTCGCCATGAGTCAGGAGCTAACTGGATGGCAGCTAACAACCGGCAGGGTCTTGCTAGGGCCCACCGAGGGAGTCATTTAGAGGTAGGGAGAAGAACACACAGCCCAGAGAGGCCCAGCGCCTTGAGGAGAAGGGTCTTCTCGCCCTCACGGCCCCTTCCTCACTGCTCCCCTCTGCTCTGCCTCCAGTACCCCCGGAGGGGTGGAGGGGGAGAACTGAGCTGGAAGGACCCCACCCCCAGCTCACAGGTGCCACCGCCTCCACTCCCCACCCTGGCCCCCAGCCAAAGGGACTTTTCACAACAGCTCAAATGAGAGCTCTGAGTAAACCTGGAACTTCTGAAACGACATGAGAATGTTCCCCAGGGAGCGGGCAGGGGCCCCACGTGAGGGCCCCAACTGGCCACAATATCTGTAGCAGAGACCGACTCCAACTGGCCTGCTGGCCACTGCAGCCCCCAGGAGGGACCCAGTGGCCCAAATCGGCCCCGGGAAGGTGGGACAAGAGCACCAGCCTGGCTCCTGGATCAGGCCTGGCTTTCCGTGCTGTGTGACCACAGACAAGGCTCTGGGCCTCTCTGGATCTGGATTTCCTCAACTGCCAAGTGGGCCTGGGGCCTGCAAATACTCTCCAGTACAAATTAGTCATACTCAGCCCCCTTAGGCCTGGGCTGGGGCAGGCTGGTGCGGCCTGCTGGGTCAAGAGGCCCTGCCCACAGCCCCCCACATTCCCACCTCGGGGCCCATTCTTCCTCTGCCTTACTTGGGGCCAGGCTGCCCAAGGCAGCCCCTCCTGGTCTGGGGGAAATGGGACTGGAGTGAGGTGGGCCTACAGGAGCTGAGAGGTTGCATAGTCCAGGCAAGGGTGCCCAGGCTGGTAGACACTGCAGAATGAGTAGAGGTTGCACAGGAAGGAAAGAGAGATTGCTAGGTGTGCTCAGCTGCTCAGCTATGAGAGGTTGCACAGGCTGGAAGAAGTTTCAGGAGGGAGAGGCTGCATGAATGGGGGATTTACCGTCTGGCTGGGAGAGACAGAGAGGCTGATAGGCTGAGAGGTTGCACAGGCTAGGAAAAGACAGGCCCTTCCCCCCAAGTTCCCAGGGCCCTGGTGCAGCTGTCCTCAGACACCCATAACCCACCCTTCACCACTGGCCAAAAAAATTTAAAGAACAACTAATGTTAGCCATATGTCTACAGCGTGCCCAGCACCTGCCTCACACTCCCTCAGCCAGGCCAGGGCCTCTGCCCCCATCCTCTAGATAAGGAAAACTGAGACTCAGAGAAAGGGAGAGACTTGCCCAAGGTCTCACTGTGAGTTACTAACAGAGCCTCCTTTCTGACCCAGACCACTGGGCTGTTTCTTCCCTAGCCTGAGAGCGCCACTTGGCTAAGAATTCACCGTGTGAACCTAGGCAAGTCCCCGTCCCTCTCTGAAAGTTCCTTGTTACTAGTCTGATGACATTAGTCAGAATCACTTAGACTGTGGGAGCTGCGAGTGTTGCCAAGAGGTAGGAGTGGGATGGGGGGAAGGCTGGAGAGTTCCTGGGGACAGTGACAAGCCTGGTGGAGAAGCCAAGACCTCTCTAAGGGGCTGCTTCTGACACTCTTCTATAGCTAGACACAGCAGTTCTCAGCCTCATTCATTCATCCATTCTTCAGCTCCTAACTGAGCACCTACCGTGTTCCAGGATCCATTCTATGTAGTGGAGATACAGTGGTGATCAAAATGGGTAAGTTCCCTTACCTCTGGGAGCTTATGCTCCAGGACAGAGACAGGTCATAAACACAGAATCGGCACATTACTGAGTCACAGAATTACAAGTGCTATGAAGGAGACAAACAACGGGGTGTGTGCCACATGGAGCCTCAGGGAAGACCCACTTCAGACAGAGCAGACGGCCTCTGAGGAAGCAATGCTGAGACTGAAACCTGAAGGCTGAGAAAGGCAGTCCTTCAAAGAAGCAGATAAAAGGTGTTCTGGCAGAGGCAACAACATGTGTAAGGGCCCTGAGTTGGAAAAATAGTTGGAGCCTTGGAGCTTTTACCCTCATCCTGTACATAGAGGCCCTCGATGCACTGAATTTAAGAAAAAGGAGTCAAAAAGAGTAAGATTTAAGCTTGGAATAAAGTTGTTATGGATTGAATTGTGTCCCACCAAAATGTGTGTCAACTTGGCTAGGCCACGATTCCCAGTATTATGTGGTTGTCCTCCATTTTGTGATCTGACTATCCTATGTGTTGTAAATCCTAACTCTAGGGTGTTAATGAGGCAGGATTAGAGGCAGTTATGTGAATGAGTCAGGAC